CACACACACACACACACACACACACACACACACACACACATCCCTGACTCAACACTGATAAATCACTTGAATAATATACCTCCAGCAAGGAAACCTGGTAACTTCCTGCCTTGAACATCAAATACAGATTGTCTGACAACTATTACAAGAAGAGAGATCATGGAACAAACACTTCCCTCCTGGATCCTGCCCACGTATTTACTCTGTTTGACCACTCCCTTTAAAAGCCTCAGAAAATGAGAACTGAGGCACAAAGGAGATTTGTACACCAGTGTTCACAGCCACATTATTCACCATCGTGAGAACATGGAAACAGCCCAAATGTCCAACCACAAATGAACGGATTAAGAAATCATGGGACATTCACACAATGGAATACTATGCAGCAATCAGGAGCAATGATTTTCTAAATTATTACCTAACTTGGAAGGGACTGGAGAGCATTATTATTGTTCCACAAGGACAAATATTTTATAAAACCATTGGTGGTGGTGGTGTTATGTGCCGTTGGGTCGCTTGCGACTCATAGCGACCCTATGTACAACAGCCCTAAACTCTGCTCTGTCCTGTGCCAATCGCACTGTCTCCGACACACCCATCCCGATTACCCCAATCACTGAATTAATCCACCTCATAGGGGGCCTTCCCCTTCTGCGCTGTCCCCCCACCCTCCTTACAACATGTCCAAAGTATGTCAGACGGAGCCTTAGAATCCTTGCCTCCAAGGAGCAGCCTGGTTTAACCCTTTCCAAGATGAATCTGTTTGTTTTCCAGCGTACCCTCAATACTCTTCTCCAGCACCACAGCTCAAAGGTGTCAATTCTTCTTCTATCCTCCTTAGTCATTGTCCAACTCTCTGATGTTCAGGGGGAGAGAGGATTAATCATGGAGTTGTATAATTAGATGGATGGGAGGTTGAGGGAAATAGGAAGAATATGTTCTCAAAAACAATATATTTGAACTTTGTAAATAAACTAGTATTGAAAAAATAAAAGCCTGGCTTGATTCTAAAATGTCATGAAAGAGTCTTTTTGGGGGGTTTTGTTTGCATGTTTGTTTTTAATGGAGAAAGTTTTTTTATTTTTAAAAATCCTTTTTATACAATCATTCATATACATTGTACTTCATGTACATTGTATTTTATACAATCATTCATATCTGTTGTGTCTTATATAATTACTATTGACCAATGTCTTCCCCCCATTCTTGTACATCATGTTTTAGACATTAATTCACATATATTGTGTTTCATATAATGAATTACTATTCCCCCACCCCTTCTTCTTTCCTTCCTTCTTTTCTTTTTTCTTCCCCTTCTGAATACATATTCAGTACATATCCTGTTTCTTTTTTTCTGTACTGCAAATACAGTTCTTTATTATTTTTTCTTTTTTATTATTATTAATTTTAATGAACGTTTACAGAGACTGAGGATTTCCATTCATTCACTGTTGCACTTTTCTCCCTGCCCACCTTCTCTCCCCCCAATTCGTCTTCTCTTTGAAAAGTAATAGGAAAATTCTTTCACTGTTTTACAATCCCTCCCCCCAAGTCCACTCCACTATGTAGCCTTCATTCTGAACTCTGGTCATGACAAAAATACCTAATCACATATTCCTTTTAAACAGTTTTATCCCTCATCTGTTTCAATGCAGTATACATTATTGAACCCATCTTTCTCAGTCTCCCCCCAACCCCAAGGTCAGTCCTGTTTTACAACAGTGGCACCATGCAGTATTTGTCCTTTTGCGACTAAGATACTTCACTCAGCATAATGTCCTCGAGGATCACCCATTTTTAATAATACTGCATGAGTTCCTTGTTTTTCAAAGCAGTGTAGTATTTCATTGTGTGAATATACCATAGCTTTTCTATCCATTCACTTAGGTTGTTTCCAACTCCTTGCTATTGTGAACAAAGCCACTATAAACATGGGTGTGCATATATCTGCTTGGGTGTCAGTTATGGTCTCTTTTCCAATAGTGGAATTGCTGGGTCAAATGGTATCTCTATTCACAACTTTTTGAGAAAGTGCCACACCGCCTTCCACAGTGGTTGCACCATTTTACACTCCCACCAACAGTGAGTAAGGGTTCCAGTTTCTCCACAACCTCGCTGGCATTTGTTGCTTGCTGTTCTGTTAAATTTTGCTATTCTTACTGGGGTGAGATGATATCTCGTCGTTGTTTTCTTAAAAGAGTTTTTGGGCAAAAGACCGGTCAAGGTTTTTTGTGAATGCGCTGACACTTAGGGGCCAGAAATGTTCTGTGATCTGGGACTCACTGCTAGTGGATGGGGAATATACCATGGATCTTTGCACCAAGAGTACTGGCCAAGCACCTACCTTCAACCTCACTGTCACCATGACTGCCAAGATGCTAATCTTGCTGATGGGCAAAGGTGTCCATGGTGGTTTGATCAACAAGAAATGTTATGAAATGGCCTCTCACCTGTGGCATGTCCAGTACTGACCCCTTTCCCCACCACTCTGCATTGCTTTTGTACCCCTATCCTTCCCATAAACATAAACCATTTTGGGGGACCATTACCCCACATCCTTTATTGCTGCCAAAACCATATGGGCAGGGGGCAGGGCCGGATGGACAGATACCTCCCCCCACCCATGCCCCTCCTGTGTGTGGTTTGAAACTTTTTGGGTTTGGGGGGTTTTTTTCTGAATTAAAAAAAAGACTCTACTTAAAAAAAATTTTTAGGCCATCCTTGCCACATGTTTTCTTTCAGATTGCTGGCATCTGAATAAAGAATATTTATAAGGTTCAGCTCTTATCTCTATTTAATTGTCTCGTAGTGTCAGGCAGCCAAACATTGTCTTTTTCCAGTTACAGAGGGACTGAGTCTATTCCAGACATTAAGAGGGAGAATGAGACTGATGGAAGCAGGCAAGGAGGGATCCTAGAATGCAGTTCTTGTAGTCCTAGAGAGACCCCCACCTTGAAGGATCAGATCCAGAAAACTTCTCAGGCCCAGCAGGAAAAACCTACCCCTACACCCTCTGCCAGGCAGGCAGTGACAAGGGCCTAAGCCCTAAGTTCACCTTCTTGCACCTCGCCCCAGAGCAGAGAAGCCCCACCTCTGCCTCCCTTGGCCAAGCCACAGGTGAAGACACTCAGACCAGACCTTGCTGTTCATGCACTTTAATGAGCTATCGAGGGTAGAGGCTTCAGTCAAGGGAGGCTTTCCCACCCCTGTGCCACCTCCACACCGTAGTCAGGAGTCTGAGGAGATGGGAGAGTCTTAAGTAGGGGATGGAGATAGATTAGTTCAGTGAAGAATTGGCACTGGGAAAGGGATCATGGGGTCTCCAAAGATCCTGGAGTGTCTGCATTTTCATACCTGTCCATGGCTCAAGGAGACCAGGAGATTATCTGGCTGATCCAGGGCATGTAGTGTGACACCAGGGTGTAGACTCCAGGGATTCCTGGACAGCCACAGTACACACTCCAGCTCACCACCCCTACCTGGACCCACGTGCCCTTCCAGTTACACACCAAGGGCCCCCCAGAATCACCCTGCAGGAAGAAGACACAAAGGGTAAGCACTCTGAGCCACAGGAAGGGTCATAGACAGACAGCAGGACTTGGGGGATGGGGCATCTCACGTGGCAGGAGCCCTTGCCAGCGCTTCCAGCACATATCATGTCCTCCTTGATGTCGTACTTGATATACCGATATATGTTCCTGCACTTCTCAAACTCCACCAAAGGGACCTCCACTTCTTGCAGGGTTTTGTGTGAGGGAAGTGGCACTGTGGGAAGAAGCTGAGTGAGTTAAGGTGGTGAAAACAGGATGAGAGAGTTCAATCCCCTGCTCCATTGCCCTGGCCAATCAGGGGCCCCTGACAGTGTCTTCAATGTCTGTCCAAGTGCAGTGACTGAGCCTGCAATCAAGAGTCCCGGATATGGAGGCTAGAACTGTTATACCACAGCCTCTGTTTTCCCACTTGTGCTCTGTGGCTGCACATGACATATTGACATTGTCCCTGTGCTGTCTAGCAACCTCTAGGCTAGCACCTTGGTGCCAGGCTCAGAAGAGAAACCAAGGTGGAACTTCCTTAACTTCTGTGGAATTCTTACAGACAGAAGTATAAAGGATTTCCCCAGAATTGCAGAATCAAACACCTGGGGCCCCTTGAAGAGCAGAGATTATGAGCACATTCATCCCTTAGTCTTTCAGAGCTTCCTTTCCCCTCCTCACCTCCAAGATGCAAAAGAAGATTAGACCCAGAAGGCAAGAGTTACCTTTCCCCGTCATCTAGTCTCTATTCCCTCACTGTGTGCTCTTAAAATGAAGCAGCCCAATTATCCAACCAAAATCAAATTAATTTAAAAAATTGTGGTACATTCACATCATGGAATACTACACAGCATTCAGGAGCAGTGATTTTGAAAATCACTGTATAACTTAGGAGGGACTGGAGAGAACTATACTAAGTGAACTAATTTAGTCCGATAATGACAAATACTCTATCGGACCATTACTGTAGAAATAGAAAGATAATTAGTAAAACATATATGAGGATCCAAGGGAATGAGGGTAGGAGCAGAAGGGCAAGAATGGGCAGGGGAAAATCATAAGGTCACACAATCTGATGGAGGGGATAAGGGAAATGGGAAAGATTCAGTCTGAAAAACAATGTATACGAACTTTGTAAGCAAAACAGTACAAAACAAAAATTTAATTTGATCAAATTACAAAAAAATTACCAAGGAGTCCCAGGGAGACCAGGAGCTTGGACTTATAAGTAACACAGTGTCAACTGCCCACTGTATCCCCTCAGAGTTCTCCCCACCCCACTAACACCCTGGTCCTGACTCTTACCCCCAAATTCGATGTTACCCCAACCAGTCACCACACACTTCAAGTCTGAAGACAGCAGAAGATCTGGTGAAGGCAGGGTGACCAGCTTAACTTGGTAAGAGAGCCTCACGGGCTCTGCCAGTTTGAGAAGTGCCACGTCTCCTCCGCCAGTCACACCGTTCTCGGGATTGTAGGAAGGGTGGCTGATGACCTTAATCACCTGCAGCCGGGCACTGTTGGAGAGCTGTAGGTGCCCCACTTGGACCTGAACGTGCCCAGGTGCAACACTGTTCCAGGATGGAAGACGAAGATAATCAGAAACTTCTCAGAGGCTGAGGCAGAACCCAGCTTATCATAGCAGGAGAAGGTGGTCTGGCCTCTTGGAGCCCAGTGCATGCCCTTCTAAATGGAGATTAGTAGACCACAAGAGAGGGATTTCTCCTGGGACCTAGGGTTATGGCACCCCACCTAGAAAACTTCACAACACCCATCATTCTGACCCCAAGGTTCCCAGCAAGGCAGTGCCTGTATCAGCGGTGTGTCACTTACAATTTAACACAGTGGGCGGCAGTCAGAACCCACTGGTGGTGGATGAGGGATCCTCCACATCTATGCACCCAAGCACTGATTGTCTGGTTGTAGAACCAGAGGCTGACCTGCCACCTCCACTTCCAGGCTGATGCATCATGTCCCCCAACAATGCCCATTAGCTCATGCTCCAGGCTGGAAGCTGGAGAGACAGAACAAGGGATCATTGACTGGGGATCCAGGCATCCCTGCAAGGAACTTAGCTCACCATCCACTCCTCAGACACTCCTCAATATATGAATAAACCAGGCCAATCTCATAATGGGTCTTCACTCCACCCCACTCTTGTGTTACTCCCTAGAGACCAAAGACAAGCATTGGAAGGAGTCAGGACTCACCTGGAGTCACAGCCACAGAGCCCTCTAGGCAGAGGAAGGTCAGCAACAGCAGCCACAGCATCTGCAGGGGTAGGGTGAAAGTCTAAGTAAGGAGACAGAGCTCCCCCTCCCCCAACTTCTGAGTCTGGAATGGAAAGGGTGGGTGTGAACAGACAGCATCCTCACCTCCACAGGACTCTGCAGCTCTCTACCTTTGACCACTCTCTACACCCTTTTATCCTCCTGCCCAGGAAATAGGTGGTTGTTTAGAGGGGAGGGGGTCAACTTCCTATGAGACTGGGTATGGAGCTCAGCTTCTCCTTTTGTAGGACCAATGGTGACAATGTTATTTGTCCAATAAGAACAAGAAGTGTCTCCTCTGAGCTGAGCCGGGCACTAGGTGCTGGGCTGATCAGCAAGGAGATAAGCATCAAACATGTGGGCACATGAAGAATAAGGAGCTATGAAGAGTAAACGCACAAACATATAGAACGTGGATGCAATGGGGAACTCTGGGATCAAGACCTGGGTGGTATAGGAATCAGTCCTGAGTCTTCCTTCCAGATCTACCCTGGGGGATCTTCCCCTTTCCCAGGAAAAAGAAGCACCTGCTGTGATCAGAGCCCAGGGTATGGAGGATCCAAAACTTCATTCTCCTTGTGGACTCTCTCTCCTTTTTAACTCTAGATATTCCTGGTACTTGAATGGAGGAAACATCTCAGAAACTCACTGTTTCTCCCCATCCCTACACAGGATAAGCCTGTCCACCAATACTGGCAATTGGAATCTGAGAGGAGGGTTGAGCTCAGTCAATGGGCTGGATCTCCAGGTCTACATAGGTGGTCAAGAAATTCAGACTTCCTCCTTCCTATCCCAGCTTGTCTGCTGGAGGCCTTGTCATTTCTCCCAAACCAGCCCCAAGCAAAGATTGCTCTCCTCAGTGAGTCAACAAGTATGGCTGTGGGTCTTGTTCCCAGGGCTTGACTGACAAGACACAAACCACATAGAAGTAAGAAAGCCCCACAATACTGGGCCAGATAACAGCCTTACACTTCGTATTCACTGATTATCAGCCCAATGAGATTGGGGAGAGATGAGGTAGAATAGACCATCAATCCAGAGACAAGCATAGGAAATCATAGTGCTAGACAAAGATTACATTTGCATTCAGATAGCTAATCATCTTCATTGGCATCCTGTTCCAGTGACCTTGGCCCTATGAGAAGCTACCAATATAGAGACATCAATAAGAACAATCTAAGTAGATCTATCAGAAGCAGACTCAAGATATTAGAGGGTCTGAAAATACACATCGTAACTATTACTTGGAGATCAGATTATTTTCTTCCAAGAAAAACCAAAACCATAATTTAGAAATTAACTTCCCTAATGTGTCTAACAGAGTTTGGCTGCTAGCTAGCATATTGATGGCAGTCACATTGGTCACGTAAGGAAAGTTTTTTTAGGGTCGTGTTTGATACTGCTCTTTTCCCCCCAAAAGTGGGTGTCCTTGAGCCTTTGGCCTAGGGTCTGCTCAAGGGTGTGGCTTTAAAATCCCACAGTGCCCTCAGGCTTGCAGACCTCTGGCCAAATATATTAATTTTTGAATGAATATTCTTTAAATGACACCGAAATCTTTTGTCTATTTGCTGAACTGAACAATTTGCTTTTGCTGTAATGTTGCACACTGTTCCATAGTCTTGTCAAATACCGTAATGGTTACCCATTATGTACAGTGTTTGGATGAGCTTCCAGGTTGATTTATGCTGGGAAGCAGGAGTGGCATCCACTTCCTAAACTAAATGCCTCTGGAAACTCTACAAACTCTCTAAATTCTATAAATGTACAGAAATTATTTTAGTTATAGAACATGTGCAAAGTTTACTGTAAGTCATATTCCACTTGACGACTTAACCACTGCTAAATGAGACTAGTGCTGTTATATCTGGAGGAACACTCTTCTACTTTGTACATCACTCTTTGTCAATGTGCTATATGAAGTAACCTGAGTTTGCTGTGATGCCAAACCTTGAGTCATTGGGGTATCAAATACTGGAATGGTTCCCAATGTGGACAGTGTTTTGTGGTTCTCCCAGTTGTAAAACAGTTTTGGAAGCAGCAGTGGCATCCACTTCCTAAACCACATGCCTCTGGAAACTCCATGAACTTTGAGAAATGTCGGTAATTATGGAAAGGCATTAGGTCTTTTGTTCATAGAGTCACTACGAGTCATGCTCAACTCCACGCAATCATTAATAACAACAATGAGTCTAATAGAAGCTAAATGTCTTAAACACAAAAGTGACAGAGGAAGAGGAAACTGTATAAATCTTGTCCACTGCCAAGAATGAGTGAGAAGACATGGTAAAGATCCAATTCTCAACAGCCTTACACTTCAATATGTAATCTGTTAATTATGTGATAAAAATATAGAGAGAAATACCAGACCCTGTATGAACAACGACAAAATCCCAAGGAAAACAATGCCATGAAACAAAGTGTCATTCAGTATTTCTGAATAGAGATGCTATTGTCAAATGATAATTCTTCAAATTGAATCCTATTTCTACTTGAATTGTAGCTTGTTAACTTCCCTAATTCTTTTTGGTACAGTGACTCTGTACTCCTTCCATCTTATTTTGATGCTTTCTGCATCATTCAATATTCTGCCCATAGTATCTTTAATTATTACAACTTATGGATTGAATTTGTTCTTCAAGTCCTTCAGCTTGAAAAATGTTGAGTGAGTTCATCCCTTTTGATTCTCTGACTCCAGCTCTTGGCACATTTCATTCTAATACTTTGCTTTGTCTTCCCAAGCTTCCCTTTGAAACTTTCTGTTTAGCTCCTTAAATTCCCGATTTCTTACCTTTGCTGTGGCCTCTTGGCATTCTAGTGCAATATTCAGAGTCTCTTCTAACGTCCACCTCAGTCTTTTCTTCCTCTTCTGTCTTTGTAATCACCTTTTGCATTCATCATGAATGAGATTCATTACATGCTAACACAGCTCATCTGTCTTCATTCATTAGTGTCCAAGGCCTCAAACTTGTTCTTAAGATGATTCTTAAATTCAGGTGGGATAGGCTCAAGGTCACATTTTGGTTCTTGTGGATTTTACTTCATTTCCTTTAGTTTCAGCTTGTGCTTATGAGTAGCTGATGGTCTATCCCACAATCAGGACCTGACCTAGTTTTCACAGCTGATATTTAATTTCCCCAATGATTCTTTCCACAGATATATAATCAGTCTGATTCCTGTGTAGACCATCAGGTGAGGTCCATGTATATAGCCATTGCTGTGTTTCTTGTAACAGGTATTTGCAAAGCTGAACATAGAAATTCCATATGACCCAGCTATTCCATTGCTTGGAATATACCCCAAGAAAATGAGAACTGAAGATCAAATGGAGACTTGTACACCAATGTTCATAGCAGCATTATTCACCATCATAAGAACACGGAAACAGCTCAGATGTCCAACCACAAACAAATGGATTGAGAAGTTGTGGTATATTCACACAATTAAATACTATGCAGCATGCAGGAGCAATGATTTTGTAAATTACTACCTAACTTAGGAGAGACTGGAGAGCATTATGCGGAGTGAACTAACTCAGTCCCACAAGGACAAATATTGTATAAACCATTATTGTAGAATGAGTATGAGGATCTAAGGGGGGAGGGTGGAAGCAGAAGGGTGAGGACGGGCTGGGGAGGTGTTAATCACAGGGTTGAACAATTTGATAGATGAAGGAAATGGAAAGGATCTTTTGTGGAAAAACAATATATTCAAACTTTGTCAATAAATCACTATAAAACATTTTAAAAAGAAAACAACAAAAAAAGGTATTTGCAATGATTCATTCACAATATCAAAGAGATGGAAGCAACCAAAGTGTCCACAAATGGATAGAAAAATCTATGTTTCCTTTACACAATGGAATACTATGCTAAGTTAAATATCTCAGTCACAAAAGGACCAAATACTGTATAATACTACATTATAAAAGAGGACAGACATGGGGAGGAGAGAGGTAAGACTGGATAGATAATGAACACTGCATTAGAACAGGTGAGAGGAAGAACTGCCCGAAAGGAACATATGATTATGTATTATACATATAAGAAAAATCTACTATAAGGGGTGCACTGCAGAGTTGGCTGGGAAGGGGTTAGAAAATGTGCAACTATTAATAAAAAATACAAAATTTTTAAAAATATGTTAAAGTGGCAAATAAACAACAGATAGTGAATGGGGGTAGGGGTAAGACATAACATTGACCCAGCAATTCCACTACTGGTAATATACCCTAAAGAAACCAAAGCCATAACTCAAACAGATATGTGTACACCCATTTTTATTGCTGCATTGCTGTTGCTATTAGATTCCATGGAGTCGTAGATGACTCATAGCGACCCTATGAACGAAAGGCCTGAGCACTGTTCGTAGAGTTTCCGGAGGCAAGTCATTTCAGAAGTGGATGCCACTCCTGCTTCCAGGATTGTTTTAATCGGGAAGCTCCAGCAAACCCTGTCCACCATGGATAACCATTATCCCATTTGGCACTTCAGTGTCACAGTGTTAGGAATCACAGCAATCGCGAGTTACCTCTGTACAGCAAATGGACAGACCAGTGCTATACCATCTAGAAGAATGTTTGACAGAAAAATAATTCGAACCTTTGGGGCTTTAAACCAACACCTGCCGTAAACCCTAGGCCAAGCCTCAAAGGCCTCACTCCTGGGGGACATCAAAACCAAGCCCGAAAGTAGCACACGATCCCACAAACTTGCAGTTACTTGCACATGAGGACCACCATGCCGTGCTCAGGCAGCAAGAAGCCACAGAGACTCTGGGTGGATTCTCTGGGGAGTCTCAAGCCCCTCCATTCCAAAATGCTGCATTATTCATTGTAATAAAGAGATGGAAGCAGCCCACATGCCCATCAACAAACAAATGGATTGAAAATCTATGATACAACATAGCAACATATGTCAGGCACAGCCTCCACTTGTCTGTTACTGGAGGCTTGTGTGTTGCTGTAATGCAGTAAGCATGTCAAACCAGTAAGATCACTGGAAAATATAAACCCACAAATCTAAGAGAATGAGCTGAATTCTTATAGCTAAAACTGTTGAAAGACAATGGCATTTTAAATACCCTCATCAGTAATTTTTCTTTGGATATGTATAAGGGAGTTCTGGTGGCCTAGTGACAAGAAGCTGAGCTACAATCCTGAAGGCACACATTCGAGGCCATCTGCTGCTCCACGGGAAAAGGATGGACAGTCTCCTCCCATGTGATTAACTGCCTCTGAAAACCCACTGGAGGGTCAGCTATGGGTTGGTTCTGACTATGGTACACAACAACAAATGTATTTATAAATCAAAGAAGATGCATCCTCAGGATTTCTGCTTGGTCTGGATGTTCTGATTTAAGCTGAAATATTACTTTATTAAACTCTCCTACTTTCTTACTTAAACAAAAAACCAACCTATTGCTATTCAGTAGATTCCAACTCACAGCAACCCTAAAGGACAAAGTATAATCGCCCCATAGTATTTCCAAAGATGTCATCTTTACGAAAGGAGACGGGCATATTTTCTTTGCCATGAAGCAGCTGGTGGGTTCGAACTGGCAACTTCCTGGTGAATAGCTAAGCACTATGCCACAAGGACGTCTCTTCTTACACAAAGCCTTCTGCAAATCTATTTGAAAGAAAAAGATCCTTTAAAGAATATTTAAAGGGAGCTCTGGTGGCCTAGTGGCAAGAAGCTGTACTGTAATCCCATAGATAAGTGGTTCAAATCCACCAGATTCTCTGCTGGAGAAGGAGGGACAGTCTCCTCCTGTACCAGTCAGATCCAATTTGACGGTACGCACACAAAATGTTAAAGCATATTTAAAACAAGAGAGTCATTACATTTCTAGAGTGCTAAAAATTTTAACCTATGATGAATGTTTCCATTCATTCATTGTTGCACTTTTCTCCCCTCCCAACCCTCCCCCCTAGAATACTACCGTCTTGGAAAAGTAAAAGAAAACTTCTTTCATTGTTTTACAAACTCTCCCCCAGGTCTACTTCACTATGCAGCCTTCGCTCTGGACTCCTGTCATGACAAAAATACCTAATCACATATCCCTTTTAAACAGTTTTCTCTCTCATCTGTTTCAATGCAGTATACATTATTGAACCCATCTTTCTCAGTTTCCCCCCAACCCTGATGTCAGTCCTGTTTTACAACAGTGGCACCATGCAGTATTTGTCCTTTTGTGACTGAGATACTTCACTCAGCATAATGTCCTCCAGGGTCACCCATTTTGAATAATATTGCATGAGTTCTTTGTTTTTCAATGCAGTGTAGTGTTCCATTGTGTAAATATACCACAGCTTCTCTAACCATTTGTTGATGGACACTTGGGTTGTTTCCAACTCCTTGCTATTGTGAACAAGGCCACAATAAACATGGGTGTGCATATATAAAAAAAAGAAAATCTATGATACATTCACACAACAGAATATTACACAGCATTGAAAAACAGTGAACTCAGCGAGCTCTGATGGCCTAGTGGCAAGAAGCTGCACTGCAATGCCAGAAATGAGCGGTTCAAATCCACCAGATACTTTGTTGGAGAAGAAGGAAAAATCTCCTCCTGTACCAGTTAAATCTGATTTGATGGCATACACACACACAAATAATAAATTTTTTTTTAATTTTTAAAAAAGAAAAACAATAAACTCATAAAACATCACACAACATGGAGGAGTTTGAAATATCTCAGTCACAAAAGGTCATATACTGCATAAAGCCACTGTTGTAGACATGTTGGGGTTTGGGGAGAAAAGAATGGATAGATAACGAACACTGCATTAGAACAGATGAGGGGAAGAACTGTCTGAAAGGAATATATGATTATGCATTATATGTATGACAACAATCTGGAACAAGAGGTACATTGTGGAAAGGGCTGAGGAAGAGGAAGAAAATGTGCAACAGGGAAATAAATATTTTTAAAAAGTTTTTTGTAAGAAAAAAGGATTTTGTTAGATATCCACAGATATTATTTTGCAAAATTCTCATCCAATCTTTTGCACTGTTTTTTGTTTGGTTTTTGTTTTTTTAGTGGGCCATTGTTTTGTCATGGAATTTGGATATTATTTAGATCCAGCAGAGCCTGTGACAGCGCTTCAGGTGTGAGTGGTATACATGGCAGGTACGTGTGATGGAGGGAGGATCCACAGGGAAGGGATCACTTTGGTGATGTGAATACTAGAAGCATGTTTCCAATATGGAATGGAAGCTGGTTCTCCAGAGAATGAACTCAAAGAACTTACAACAGAGTCACCCGTGCTAAATCTCCCAGCTCCTGACCATCCTAGAATTCCATCCTGCTGTGAACGCAGGCAGAGCTGTCTCTGGGGGCTAGAAAAAGCACTCAGGGTCCGTGGTTGGAGGCGGAGCATGGCTGCACTTTTGTGGTAAGTGTAAGGACAGGAGGGTGTATGAATATGTGTGTTGTCACTGTTGGGGTGTGTGTGTGTGTGTGTGTGTGTGTGTGTGTGTGCGTGTGTGTGTGTGTGTACGCGCATGTACACAGGAACGCACACCTGGAGACTGAGTCTCATTACAGCCTAAAAGTGCGGATAATGGAACTGGAAGCAGAAGAGCACAGCTCTCAGGAAGGTGATCAGAGAGGAGGGAGGGACCACCATCGGGTGTGCTTCCTAGTCCTCGACACGCTGTTGCTGCAGATGTTAATCACCAGCACTGGCATGGGTCCTCACCAGATGGACACTGTGTTGCTGGAGAGCCAAGGACAATGAGGATCCTCATAACATAGCAAAGCTAGGGGATCCTCCTGCCCCTCCTCATCTTCCTTCATGACACAGAGCCCCAGGTGCAGGTCTGCTGGGTGGCTGTGGTGTCTCAAGCCCCTCCATCCCAAAATGAGGGTGCCCTGGAGTGCACCTGCCTCCAGCAGTCCAGAGTCCAATGTTAGTTCTGAACAAATGAGAGAATAGGAGTCTATAGATAAGAACAAAATGTTTGCTCAGAGCACTGACCCTCCTTGTCCTTGCCCAGACTGCCACTGCCCCTGTAGCCTAAGTCAAATATGGCGGGGTAGGGGGAAGAGAGAGAGCTCTCTCTGTTTGAGGTATCAGAGGGAAGGGTTAAGTCACACGTAGGGTTTATCTGTGGAGGCTACCCCTATGTCCCAGAAAGTAGAATCCAGAAATGGGCACATCTTGAAGCCCTGCAACTCTCACACCTATGCAGGCTTGAATCATTTACCAGGGCCTTGTCTTTCCTGATCTCACCTGGCCAGCTGTGCTGCTGTAAGACCCCTCCCCCAAATCTGGCACTGATCTTCCCAGGAACAAGACCATCCTCAAAGGGAGAAGGGTCTTAATGTTGACTTCTCACTCCAAGGGTTCAAAAAAAGGATCTCAAATGTGAATGGGAAAAGGAAGCGCCTGTAGAACTAATAACCTGGACTTTCCAGAACCACATGGGGCTTAATATTCCCTATCAAAGAGTGTGAACAGCTCAGGAGATAATGGAATCCTAAGTAAGGAGATGCAATATGGTCCTCCTCCAATAGAGGAAGCTAACACCTAATCAGAAGTCAGGAAGAGCTTCTACCCCTGCATGTCTCTTCTTTGAATCCCTACAATCCTGAGGCACCAAGAGCAGTAGAATGTTCCAGGCTATGGGGATTGAATAAAGGAACCTGAGTCTGTCCATAGTACCTTGCAGACTGTTGTTTGGTCAGAAAAAGCTCTAAATGGAATGGAAAAACTCTACTAGAAGTTTGGATCAGAAGGACAACTCATACCTGAAAGCAAAACTGGGTTTTCCTTCTGCCCAGATGTTGACCAGATTGGGTATGAGGGTTAGTTGTATGCTAAAAGAAGGAGTGATTACAAGTTCTTCCTATTACTTCCACTGGCTCTACCAGTCTTTGGAAACATCACTTACACACTCTTGAGAGGATGGTGTGTCTGTAAATGGAAAATGTACCCACCCCAGGCAGAAAATTACCTTCTTGGCAGGAAAACCTCACTCTGACCTCTGTTCCAAGAGGTAATTGCACCTTTAGTCCCACTCTACCTTCCATCACCTGAGCTGCCCATTAGGAAGGCCATGTTCTCGGGTCTCTTGGTCATGAAGATGAAGATACTCAGTCAAGAGCTTTGTTGCTAGGGTACTTCATTGAGTTGGGAAGGAAATAAGTCCCCTTGTCTTGGAGGAGGCTTGGAGACAAGGAGGCTTCCTCACCCTTGCCTAGTGAGGGAGAGCTGTGACAGAACTTTATCTCTAAAACATGAAAGACCCCGGGAGTAGATACCATTTATAAGACCTTTCCAGTCCCCAGAATTCCCATGAGATCAGATTCACAATATGAAGTTATGTTGCCTGTTAGGGCCCCCAACTTTACTTGCTCTGTCGTGAAGGGGCTACTGGTACAGGACTCCACAATATAACACAACCATCTCCAGGACCATCTGCCCTTGGGGGAAAGGGATCTACATGCTCACTTCTCATTCCGAGGACCCCAGGACTGTGTATCTCTAATGTGAGTGGGAACAGAAGGCATCTGTAAAACTGGTAACCAGGAGCTTCCAGAACAATGTGTAACTTCACTTCATGCCACAAAGAACATGTGAGTTTCCCAGAGGATAGAGAATCCTGAGTGAGGACATGCTGCATATTCCCCCTCCCACAGAAGGTGACAAGTTGACAATCAATAAAGACACTCAGCCCAGAGCTTAATATTCATGCACTTTATTAGAATACACAGAGTAGATCATAAGAGCCTGCAAGGCTTGCTGTTCTTTTCAGTTGTCAGGGAGGAGATAGGACTCTGAGAGAGAGGCAGGGGTGAGAGGGTCTCAGAATAAGAGGACATGAGTGTCTCAGAATAGAAGAGGACATGAGTGTCTCCAAAGGTCTTTGAATATTTGCTAATGTCAGGAGCAGCCTTGTCTGTGCCTGGAGCTCAATGAGATGAAAATACATAGTGGTGGATCCATTTGTAGTAGTAGGTCACTCGAGCATAGACTCCAGGAAATTCTGGACTACCACATCCTAAACCCCAACTCACCACCCCTACCTGGAACCAGGTGCCCCTCCAATGACAAACCAGAGGGCCCCCAGAGTCTCCCTGTAGAGGAAAAAAAAAAAAACAGGTGATAAGTCTCAGATCCCCTGAGTTTGGAGCAAAGGCAGCAAGCAGGGAACATGAACAGATGCCAGAACATGGAGGTCTCACCTGGCAGGAGTCCCGGCCTGGGCTTCCAGCACACAACATATCCTTCTTGATGACCTTATTGACATTTCCATACTGCCTTCTGCAGACCTCGTCATCCAAGAGGGGGATCTCTACCTCCTGCAGGTGGTAAGGAGAAGGCAGTGGCCCTGTAGGGAGAAGCTGGATGAGTCTGGAGGATTGTCCTGGGGAAATTCATTCCTCTTCTCTCTCACCCTAGACAATCGGTGACCCCAGGCTGTGGCTCCCCTAATGTCCAAGTGCAGAGACTGAGCCTGCAACTCAAAGCCCAAGGTGTTGGCTTCTAGAACCAAACACGAAGCTCCCATTTTCCCACCTGTACCCTGGAACTACACACAGCCCACTCTACCTGTTCTCCCAGTGCCGACAGACTGTCTCTAAGCTGACACTATGGGCATCGGGCTTGGGGAATGCAAAGTGGAACTTCCTTAACTCCCAAGGAATTTTTACTGTTAAAATCAAATTACTTCCCAAAAAAATCAGATTCAAGGCCCTGAAGTCAGAGTGGACTTAGACCATTGACTAAAAAATCCAGGAGCCTTAGCCTTTCTCAGCCTCATTTTCTATCGCCACGATGCAAAAGAACAAGGGACACAAAAGGGCAATTCAGGGCCTTGTTCAGAATCAGGGCAGAGATCCCCTCTGGTCTTTGTTAATCTTGTCCTCTTGAGCTATCCAACTCCATTCTCTACTCACCCATGTAATCCCTGGGAGAGATCTGTGTTAATGCCTTGTTGAAAGCACTGTGCCAACACCAATTGTGTTCACCTTGGAGTCTCCCCCTTCGATCTGACCTTGGTCAGCTTGAGACTTACTATTAGATGCAACATCACCCCAGCCAGTCACCCAGCATCTCCAGTGTGGGGGAAGCAGGAGGTCCGGTGGAGGAAGGGTCACCGGGTTGACTCGGTGAGAGAGCATCATGGGCTTTGTCAGTTTGAGAAGAGCCACATCTCCCCCACCTTCTCCTTTCTCTTTAGGATTGTAATCAGGGTGGGGGATGATCTCAGTTACCATCTCAAAAGTGTTACTATCAAAGGGTTTCACATGGCCCACTTGGACTCTAATGTGTTGAGGTGATCGAGTTTTCCTAGTAGAAAAGGAGAGAAAACCAAATTTCTCAGATGTTGAAGCAGAACCCAGCTCAGCATCTACTCTCTAAATGGGGAGAGAGACACTCCAGGCTTGGAAGTCCCCAGGACCCAGGACCACAGTCACTCCAACCTAAGACACTCCACAGCACATTGACCCCAGTGTTGTCCACAAACCAGGTGCAGGTGGAAAGGTGACTTACAGTTCAACAACACAGTGGGCAGCAGTCAGCACCCACTGACGGTGAATGAGGGAGCCCCCACAACCGAGTGCCCATTTCTTGTCTGCTGGCCTGTAGATCCACAGGCCTACCTGCCATGGCCACTTTCCAGCGGGAGCATCATGTCCTCCCACAATGTCCACAATCTCAGTCTCTGAGTTGGGATCTGAAAATGCAGAATGAGGAGTCATTGGGACCCAAATATTCCTGCCCAGTGCTCAACTTATCCTCCCCTGCTTATACCTTCCCCAAGTGCAGGACTGGGCCACCTTCTTATGGGGTCCCCATCTATCCTACCCTAAGGCTACTCCCAAGAGACCTGGGACATGGGCTCAGGAGCAGGGCAGCATTAGATGGGGTCATGATTCACCTGAGGTGATGGGGTCAGAGCTCCCCAGGCAGGCGAGAGTCAGCAACAGCAGCCACAGCATCTACAGGAATAGAGGAGGTGATATAACTCTACCCTGGGGACTGGGATGAAGTGGGCAGAGAATGGGTGTGTAGCCTCCTCACCTCCACAGGACTTTGCAGATCTCTGACTTGAGTCCCTCTCTGGACCTCTTTATCCTCTAACCCAGGAAGTGGGCAAAGAGGTCAGCCTCATCCAGGGTGAGGCATAGCAGGAAGTAAGGCTTCTGAGGTTACTGAGTAATCAATGGTGACCATGTCTGACTTGTCCATCAAGAACATGCAACATCTCCTCTAAAATGAGTTTGGCACTGGGTGCTGGACAGAGCAACAGGAGATGAACAATCCCCAGATGGACAGATAAAACTACAAGAGTGTTAAGAAGACTAGACAACAGGCATATTATGGCGGCACTGGAGGCAAGCTCCGGGTGATGCCAGGCTCAGGTTGTGAGGCCTCTTTCCCAGTGTCCAGTGGAGGTTCATATCATCCTGGGAAAGGTCACACCTGCTGGGATCAGAGTTCTGGGTCTTGAGAAATCATCCCAGCACTTTCCTTGTGGGCCAGAAACTTCCTCCTGTGGCTCCAGACATCCTTGAGGTTAGAAGGGAGGAGACTCAGTAAGATGATTGGTATCTCATAAACCTTTATTATCTCCCCATTCATACATAGGAGCAGCCACTTCACCAAGGCTAGGAGTTAGAATCCAAGGGTTGGGGTCTGCAACCCCAGGCAGGTGGGCAACATGGGCTTCCTCCCTCCCTCATCCCTGAATGTCTGCTAGAGGTCATGTCTTCCCTCCCAGACCAGCCCCAGGCGGACGCTGTGGCTATAGGACAGACAATTCACCCCAATGACTCAGTGTTTTTGGCTTGGATCTTTTTCCCAGGGCCTAATTGACAGGAGAACAGTGAGACATGGACCAGTAAAGAGCCACAACCTCAATGGCAAGCCTGATAATGGTCCCACACTGCCCATTCATCAATAGCCAGCCCTACCAGACTGAGGAGAAAGGGAGGTGAACAGATCATCAAGTCTGAAACAAGCATGAGAAGCCACAGTCCCAGCATCCTCTTTCTCATCCACCCACACTACACAAGAAGCCACCAATATAGAGACAGCATCAAGAACATTCTAAACTGATCTATCAGAAACAGAAATAAGTGATTATCAGGTGGTCTGGAGATGAGCATCATGACTATTACTTGGTTATGATGTGATCTTCCAAGAAAAACCAGAAGTCTACTTATAGGGTTTGGAAATTAAATTCCTCAGTATATCTGGATAAATGGCAAATTTTAAATACAAATATGGTAACTGTTGTTGTTATGTGGTGTCGAGTTACCTGTGAATCATAGCGACCCTATGTACAGCAGCTCTGAAGCCTGCCCTGTCCTGAGCCAGTCTCACTTATTACAATACACCAACCCCTATTGCCCCAGTTAATGAATCAATCCATGTCCCTCCAGGGGTCTTCCTCTCCTGCGCTATCCCTCCACCCTTCTGAGCATGATGTCCTTCTCCAAGGACCAGTACTCCTGCCCATAGGCCCAATGTATGTGACACAGAGCTTCAAAATCCTAGCCTCCAAGGAGAAAGTTGGTTTCACCTTCTCCAAGACGTTTTCTTGGTGGTCCATGGTATGTTCAAGACTTCTCCAGCATCACAACTCAAAGGCATCAACTCTTCTTCTGTCATCCTTAGTCATTGTCCAGCTCTCTAGTGCATAGCAAGTAATTGTGAAGATCATGGCCCGGATCAAGCACACCGTGGACTCTTTAGACTGACATCATTGGTTTTCAGTACTCTGAAGAGATCCCAGACAGCAGGTTTTCCTAGTGCAATTTGTCTTTTGATTTCCTGACTGCTTGATTCTCACCACTGGGCCAACTGGCAGCACCATAATAGAATGAGAAGAGATTGAGGTTGTTAGCAGTTATGGCTTGCTCAGATCCAGTCAACACTCTTAGCACCAGCAGTCAGGAAATCAAAATACTAATTGCATTGGGAAAATCTGCTGTCAGAGACCTCTCCAGAGTGCTAAAGAGCAACAATGTTGGTCTAGATACAAAGGTGCACCTCATCCAGGCCATGGTCTTCTCAGTTACTTGTTATGCTTCAGAGAGTTGGACAATGGCTAAGGATGACAGAAGAAGAATAAATTCCTTTGAGCTGTGGTGCTAGAAAAAAATCTTGAACATACCATGGACTACCAAGAAAACAAATCAGTCTGTCTTAGAGAAGGCAAAACCAAGTCTTTCCTTGGAGGCTAGGATTTTGAAGCTCTGCTTCACTTACTTTGGGCATGTGGCCAGGAAAGATTGGTCCTTGGAGAAGGACCTCATGTTTGGAAGGGTGAAGGGGCAGCACAGGACAGGAAAACCCTGGGTGAGATGGATTGATATAGTAACTAGGTCAACGGGGTTTGGAATGTTGGAATTAGTGAGACTCTCAGGACAGGGAAGGGTTCAGAGCAGCTGTACATAGGGTCACTATACATCACAGGCAACTCAACTGCACATAGCAACAATAATATACAGGCTAGGAAGCAGGTGTGACATCCACTTCCTAAACAACAGGCCTCCGGAATTTTGTTAAGTGTCAATAGTTGTAGAGGGGCTTCAGGACTTTTGTTCATGAAGTCGCTATGAGTCATGCTTGATTCCAAGGCAATCAACAACAACAGTGTTTTTAAGAGGTTTCACTGTGGAGTCAAGCAACTGTAATTGTTAACAACCTCAATTAGCCCAGTGATGAGAATTTTTGTCTTCTTGATGTTAAGCTTCAATCCATATTGAAGACTACAGTCCTTGATCTTCTGCAGCAAGCGCTTCAGACCACCTCAGTTTCAGCAAACAAGGTCTTGTCATCTGCATAACATAGGTTGTTGAGTTTTCCTCCAATCCTGATGCCACATTCTTCCTCATAAAGCCCAGCTTCCCAAATGATCTGCTCTGCACATAGATTGAAAAGGTATGGAGACAGAATGCGTCCTGATGCACTCCTTTACTCATTTTGAAACATGCAGCGTTTTTTTGCTTTGTTCTGAGGACTGCTTCCTGGTCCAAGTATAGGTTCCACATAAGCACGATCTGGGATTCCTGTTGTCCTCAGGGTTACCCACAATTTGTTGTGATCCACAGAGTCAAATAAATGCCTTTGCATAGTCAATGAAACACAGATAGATATTCCTGTGGTATTCAAGATCCATCTGACACTGGCAATAATGTTCCTAGTGCCACAACCTCTTTTAAACCCAGCTTGTATTTCTGGCAGTTCTCTGTCAATGTTCTCTTCCAGTCATTTCTGGATAATCATGAGCAGGACTTTGCTTGCATGTGATATTACTGATATTGTACAATAATTCCCACACTCTTGGGTCACCTTTTTTTTCTGGAATGGGAATAATATGGATCTCTTCCAGTTAATTGTTCTCCAGATTTCTTGGCACAACCTGGTGAGCCTATCCAGGGCAGCATCTGTTGCTTAAAAAATGTCAATTGGTATTCCATCAGTTTCTGAAACTTTATTTTTTTGCCAAGTCCTTCATAGCAGCCTGCACTTACTCCTTCATCATGATTGCCTCTTGATCATATGTTGTTTTTTAAAATTCTTCTGTGTCAGCCAATTCTTTTTGGTACAGTGACTTTGTATACTCCTTCCATCTTTTTTAATGCTTCCTGGATCATTCAATATTCTGCCCATAGCATCCTCAAGTATTGCAGCTGGCTTGAATTTGTTCTTTAGTTCCTTCAGCTAAGAAATGCTGAGCGAGTTTGGCCCTTTTGATTTCCTGACTCCAGTTCCTTGCATGTTTCATTGTAATACTTCACCTTGTCTTACTGAGTTGCTCTTTGAAATCTCCTATTCAACTCCTTAACTTCTTGATTTCTTCCTGATGCTTTGGCTTCTCAGCACTCTAGTGCAATATTCAGAATTTCTTCTGACATCCATTTTGGTCTTTTCTTCTTCCTCTGTGTTTATAGTGACATTTTGCGTTCTTCACAGACTATATTCTTGATACCTTCCCACAGCTCATCTGGTCTTCATTCATTAGTGTTCAAAGCCTCAAGCCTGTTTCTGACTTGGTTTTTCAATTCAGGGAGGATAGACTCAAAATCAAATTTTTATTCCTATGGATATGCTTTATCCTTGTTTATTTTTAATTTTAACTTGCATATGAATGTTGCAATCTACAACCCTTTTTCCTGGGAGAAATGAACATAAAGAGACAGACACACACAGAAGACAAGACAGGATTGCAGCAAAGAAACACACTCTCACACACATGGGACAAGAACTGCAGACCCCTAGGCCTGGCTTATTTATTATTTTATAATCATCCAAAAACAGTCTGCGTGCAGGCACTCATGATTTTGGAGAAAACTTATTTACCAAAAACTAGACTTGTTTAGACTTACTTAGCACAGAATATTCTCACGGAATCTTTCTTGCTTCCATATTTCTGTCTACCAGAAGGAATAAGACTATGCCTTGGAAAGAGGAATATTCTTGGACCTCGTATGCAAGAGCCCAAGGTCCCCATCTGTTTGCGGACTCAAGAACACATTCCTCTCCCACTCCCCATTCGGATTGAGGAAGGCCAAAGAGACATCTGTGTGCAGACTGTTTCTTTATTAACTCTTCTTGGCTCCTTCATATGAGTTGTTGTAGTAGTTGTTGTTGTTGTTGTTGTTATGTGCCATCGAGTTGCCTGCAACTCATAGCGACCCAATGTACAACAGCCCTAAGCTCTGCCCTATCCTGTGCCAATCTCACCATCTCCAACACACCTGCCCCCATTACCCCAGACACTGAATCAATCCATCTCATTTGAGGGTTTTCCTCTCCTGCGCTGTCCCTCCACCCTCCTGAGCATGATGTCCTTCTCCAAGAATTGGTCCCTCCTTGCAACATGTCCAAAGTATGTTAGATGAAGCTTCAGAATCCTTGCCTACAAGGGGCAGCCCGGCTTCACCCTTTCCAGGAAAAACCTGTTTATTTTCCTAGTAGTCCATGATATACTCAATACTCTTCTCCAACACCACAGCTCAAAGGCATCGATTCTCTTTCTATCATCCCTAGTCATTCAAGTAGCTGATGGTATGATATGAAATAAGTACCCTGGCCTAGTTTTTTATTATTATTAATTTCAGTAAAAATTTACAGACTTTGGATTTCCATTCATTCATTGTTTCACGTTTCTCCCCACCCAACCCTCCCCCCCAGTACACTACCCTCTTATAAAAGTAAAGCAA